AAGATTCATATTTCTAAAATAAATTTTGTATTTAAAATTTTTAAATTACAGTTTGTATTTTAATTCAATATTATTTTGCACGTGTTTCTCTTGTACAGCAATAGCGGTTAGCCAGTCACACCTTACAAAATGATGCCCCTGATATTTTCAGTGCCTCGCGGGCACCAAGATTCATCTTTTTAATCAATGGAAAGGAGGAAATGGCCTGCTTTTATTAGCATCTAGGTCGGCTCTCAGAACAAGCAGGCTACAAATCCTGCTGTCTCAGACGCTTCCTCCTTCGTTACGCTATTCCCATGGTAACCCTCCGCAAGGGAGAAGAGGGACAGCTAACCACGGAGATGCTATTTTTAGGATCAGGCAGATGCTTGACGAGTCTGTTGAAGGAAAGAAAATGAAACAAATGTAGGAGAGGATTATTTTTTTTGAGGACCAAAGACAGTATCATTGAAAATTCATGTTATAAAACTGGAAAAGACCTTGGGAAATCATTCAGCTTACCTTTACCTTTAAGAAGATCTACTTCCAAGTCATACCAAAAGTTGTGCAATAAGATGATGTCAGAACATTTTACTTAATAGGCTATTCTAATGGGTACCCGTATCTCTTACCCTGAATTTACCCTGTATTCAATCTCAGCTCCAAGACCAAGGGAATTGGGAATGAGACTATGCATTGTATAGGCTCAAGCTGTGGACTATACAACCCTGAAGGCATAACTCATTGAGCCTCTGCTACCAACGACGCTCCCGAGGTCTGTGCAGTGCGTGTCCTGTGCAAGTCTCCGCACTGGCCTCGCCTCACTTCCCTTTTTAAAATGTAAGTGCCTCCCAGCCTCCTTAAAAGCCTCAGGGACTTCTCATTGCTCTTAGATTACAGGCCCTGCGTCTTTAGGGTGGCTATAAAGTCCAACGTGATATTGATCTTGCGCACCTGTCCAGAATCATTGAGTGCTGTTACAACTCTCTGTTTCAGCAAAAGACCTTATTTCAGAGTCTCAACATGCCATCTGCCTCCCATTCAAGATCTCTGCACTCACATATAATACCTTCCCCATGCTCTCTACCTAGGTAATCAGTATTCAAATATCAGGAGACACTTTCTCAACCTGTAAGATAAGAGAAGGCACTCCTGCCATAGCCCCTCCTACCATTTTGTGCATTTCCTTAACAACATTTAACAGTTGTAACTGTTTACGTAACTTTTTGGCTTCCTTTTCATTACTTTAGTTCTATGTTGTTAGGGGATTATATTCTTTGGTTTTATGTATCTAGTGCCCAGCACCATGTTTGGCTAATGAATTGCTCTAATAACTGAAAGCATGACTAGCAATTATTTTAAAGGGATATAATCCCTGATTCTCTGCCAACTCAAACTGCCTAGGTGATTGCACTGGGTTCCTCAAAATGTCACGTGCATCTAAATTTCCAGAAAACTTGCTAAAATGCAGAGTCAGATTCAGTAGATCTGGGAGCGGACTAGGGTTCTGTATTTCGACTGGTAACTAGCTCTAGAATATGGTTCCCCATTAGAATCAACACAAGAGCTTTAAAAAATATCTCGGCTCTTCAGTCCCAACCCTGGAGATTCTGATTTGATTGGCGTGTGCTTGGCGTGGGCTTTGGGGATTTGTAAAAGCTCCCAGTTTGTTCCAATATCTAATATCACTCTAGGAGATTCTAGACAGAGCTCATCCTCAACAGCAGGTAAAGGGATATTTTTGTTATCCTTTGCATTAACCAGCATCCAACGTAACCACTGGATAGGGATGTATCTCATTACTAGTCTTTAAATGCACGACTCTCAGAGACACACAGGAGGGTGGTACCTATTGTTTAATGTCTGGGTAGAGAGCATCCTATGTGAGTTGGTTAATGTGGCAGCAGAGAGGTCCAATCTCAAACTTCCCCACTTCTACACATGGGCCAAATGCATTTCTGATCAAATATTTTTAAAAATACATGTAGCTACTGAGAAAAAGTGGAACATTTTGGGAAGACCACATGCAGTTAAATGCAGTCTTTGCAGCCAGAAGAACAGTGCATGATTACTGAGATAATAACAGGAAAAAGAGAATGTTGCTCTCCTAAAAGCTGTAGCGTTTGCAGTGAGTTCCCTCATTCTAGGCTTCCCCACAATGGTGAATGTGAACAGGAGCAATAAGTTCACTGGCATTTGGTTGCTCTCTTTGAAGATCAGTCCTTGATCATCTAAAGCAGCGGTTCTCAACCTGTGGGTTGCGACCCCTTTGGGGGTCAAATGACCCTTTCACAGGGGTCGCCTAAGACCATCGGAAAACACATATATAATTACACATTGTTTTGTGATTAATCACTATGCTTTAATTATGTTCAATTTGTAACAATGAAATTGGGGGTCACCACAACATGAGGAACTGTGTTAAAGGGTCGCGGCATTAGGAAGGTTGAGAACCACTGATCTAAAGCATAGTAGTCATCTCCTTGTCTTCTCATGTATTGCCCTGATTTTTCCACTGACTTATTTTTTGTGTGGTTTTAATCTTAAAATTTTCACAATGTATAATAACATTTTTGCACTTAGCACAGTACTATATTTCAAGCCCCATACTAATTGTTTTCCTATTCTTGTTTACTTTATCTCCTCAGCAAATCTGTTAGGTAGCGGTTGCTATTATAACATTGTACAGATTAAAAAAAACAACAACAACTAAGACTTATTAGTTCATTAGCTTCTAAAGACACACAGATGGCCATTGGCAGAGTCCAGGTATATCAGATGCGGTTTCTATCCCAGTGTTAAGATATTAGCAGTTTTTAGGCCAAATTCAGCCTTCAGATATATGGGTCTACCTGGGCTCAACTTTTAATGAGGTGCTAGAATTTAGAAAGAACATTTACTATAAAAATCCATGTTTGAAGCATATATTTAAAATAACCATGTGTGACAACAGTGAATAACATGCCTGCAAGCCTGAAGCTTGCCTGAAGCTGAGTAACATTTTTCTCTTTCATATGACACTCCCCTTGCCTCTCACTAGTATCTCTTTTAGTCCTGAACTGTCTGAGAATTTATGACACCGGTTTGTCCACTCCAGTTCTCTGGGGTTTCAACTTAGCCTCTAACCTCTTATTGAGGGAAGAAATGGTTCTTTCATCTTTAATCAACTTGGTCATCAGGAAAGAAAGATGTCCTCTCTTATGGTGAGGTGGAGAACATTACGTTGCCATCTTCATAACTTTGGGCTTTTTTAGAACTATCTGTACATGTGCATCCAGCAGAGTGTTCTGATATCTTGGAAGACAAAGTGGTGGAGCTTAGTATCCGACCTTCTGATTCTGGTGCTTAGCTGGCTGGAGCAGTTTCCGTTCAACGTTTGGACTTCACCTGGGTTTACAAATTGTGTGGTTGTGTTTCAACAATGAGCCCTGTGAAGACTCCCAAGTCCCTTGTCTCCTGGTGCAGCCGTATTCTGTTCAGTCTCCTGCAAATAGCCCTTGATAAGGAGGAAAAGGATCTTTCCTGATGATGTCAGGCCCGACCTGGTGTGGTCTGAGCAATGCTGGGCAGGGTTTCCCAGGAATACTGTCCCTGACTTCTGATGTAGCAGGATCTGTTGAAAAAACAATTCTCACAGGAGACTTCTTCTTTGTTGTGAGAGTTGCTTGCCTCCGTTGCACTGTACCTGTTGTTGTTGTGGGTTTTTTTTTAAAAAATATGATTTCAGAGGGAGGACGTGAGAGGAACATGGATTGGCTGCCCCCTGAATACCACCCACTGGGAATCAAGCCCACAATCCAGCCATGTGCCCTGACTGAGCATTGAACCAGTGACCTCCTAGTACATGGGACAAAGCTCAACCAACTGAGCCATACTGGCGAGGTGCAGTGTACCTATTTCTTTGTTTCCTTGTCACGCCTGGCTTTGACCCACTGTGCCGGGGTCCAGCCCCAGCGGTCCAGGGGTTCCCAAAGGTGTGGACGGAGTCGGCGAAGAATGTTTTACACGGAGACAGCGTTCAAAACTCTCTAGCTTTCCTTAGTCTCCGTGGATCTTCCCTGTGCCTGGCTGAGGCCACAGAGAGAGAGAGATCCCAAGGCAAGCTGAGCCTTTATTTTATAGTGAGAGGTAAACAAGGTGGTGGTTACCAAAGTTACACAGTTCTTGTGAGTTTCACTTGTTTACACCATGGTTATACTTCCTGCACTTCCTCAGCCCATTAGCTTCCCAGATAAGATCTAGAGAGTGTTATAAGGTCAAGCCTAATTATGCTAAGAGGACTGTGCCCTCTAAGCTGGGAATTGTTTGTGACTTTGCCCACAGATCAGTCTGAGGCTTAACCCTATATCGGCTCCCTACACCACTGCCCATTTGGCTGTCGATTTCTATGCTCTCCCCCTGAGTTACTCAGTCTTTCATTCCTTGTGGCAGAGCCTTCTCACTGCACACTGGGTACCTGTGACTCAACAGAGCTCATGCCCATGTGCTGTGCTGTTTAAACCTCAGAAAACTCCTATGACATAGGTCTTGTTATTCCCAGGAAATTGTGGTGCAAAACACTATGAAATTTGGTAAATTGTAAAAGAATTTTCAAATGGTTAAATGCTAATCTATTTTGTTCCATATTTTACTTTGGATTTCAGAGGCAGATATAGTAATTTAACAATGTCTACAAAACATGAGAAAAATAATTCAACCAGTCCTTATTTCACCACATGGTATGCCAAGTGAGACATCATCAGTTTTAAGATATGCCATCATTCGACGTGCCACTGAGAACAGCAAAAATACTGTCAATTAAATTATGTCATTTAAATTTCGTTGATTGCTATCTCTATCTCAATTACAGATGTTTTAACTTAAAAAGTCATGTCTGAGAATACAGCGTTTATTCAACTTTTATTGCATGTGCTTATTATATGACACTTGCTAAAACTTAATTGTCTTAATATTAATTGTCTTAAAATAAGACGTAATAAAGTAAATGCAAACATATTTACACTACAATGTTTTCCCTTTAGCAACCATCAACAGAGCTAGAATTTGACCGTGTGGTGATTTATACCACTTGCCTTCGGGTGGTTCGGACAACCTTTGAGAGATGTGAACTGGTTAGAAAGATCTTCCAAAACCATCGAGTAAAATTTGAAGAGAAAAACATCGCTCTGAATGGTGACTATGGAAAAGAGTTAGATGAACGCTGCCGACGGGTTTCCGAAGCTCCCTCCCTCCCTGTCGTGTTCATCGATGGCCATTATCTTGGGGTAAGGAAAATCTTATTTTTATCAAACCCAGCCAGTATTGATAGAGATCTGTAAGCCAATGGCAAGGTCACTTGCAACATAATCACCAGGATACTGCTATTTTTCTTTCTTTTTTAAAAATATATTTTATTGATTTTTTACAGAGAGGAAGGGAGAGGGATAGAGAGTTAGAAACATCGATGAGAGAGAAACATCAATCAGCTGCCTCCTACACACCCCCTACTGGGGAGGTGCCCACAACCAAGGTACATGCCCCTGACTGGAATCGAACCTGGGACCCTTCAGTCTGCGGGCCAACGCTTTATCCACTGAGCCAAACCAGTTAGGGCAACACTTGCTATTTTTCAAGTTCAAACCAAAGGGAATCAAAACACACATGTCTGTCTCAAACATGTATGTGTTCAACAGTGTTCATCCCTACAGAAGCACGGTGAGATAAAATCAGCATTGAATTGCCTTTTTTAATACGATACATTTTTTAAATGTTTAGTAGACTTGAGTTTTGCGTTATGAAGCTCGACATGAGGTATTAAAAACTATTTTTTTTGGTAGAGGCAAGAAAAATGGATTATTTGTAAGATGTATATTTGTGAATTCTCTTATACCCCATTCATTACCCAGCACTCAGTTTCCTACCTAATGAACCTAAGATGACAATCCTGAAAGGAAATTAATAAGAAATAGGGCCTGGAGCCAGAATTTTATCTGCTTGTTTAAAATTATTCTTGATTTTGGTCATGCAGCAGCATGAGACACAAATTCAGGCTTACAACAAGCAGAGAGAACTCCCAGGGCAACAGGAAAGCATGCCTGCTTCATTTAATAACTCCCATTGATCTATGGGCACGCTTAATCTGTGAGAAGGCCAGGAGAGGGCTCTAGAGAGCACACTTTGGAAGACTGGGAGCAAAGAGAGGGGGAGGGGCCTGACTACAGGATCTCCCAGAGAACAAAGAGGGACTGTGGAAGGACAGACAAATACTTGGATTTAGGTTTTGTTTTGCATCTGGCCTTAACCTTCAACTTTCAGGGGAGTTTAGAGGAAAAAAAAACAGAGCAGAAAATACTTATGTTTTGTTCCAGGGAATCTCTTATTCTTGTCATATTCCTATAGGGAACCTGTGTTCTGATCTCCTGTCTGGAGACACAATTATTCGAGGCAGCCTGTCATCTTATGGAAAGATAAACGCAGGGAGCCATGACTCAATAGCTATGACATTATGCCACCTGACTTTCAGAGCTGGGGACGGACTGCATTCCCAAGCAGAGGAATTTTGATTTGAAGTATTGAACCTCATGTTTGCTATTTCAGTATAGACCCTTAGGTCTCAAAAGCTGTAACAATGGTGGTGATAATCATGATATATCACAACGATAATGCTAAGAATAATGCTAAACTGCGCTGCCAGCGTTACACGTGCCTTCTGGTCCAGTCCTCCCCACAGCCTTGGAAATCAACGCTCTGGCATACTGGTTACGAGGCCCCAGAATCAGCCAGCCTTGTTTCAAAGTCCTGCTCCGAGGCTTCCATGTCATTCTGGGCAATTTGTAAATCACTTTGTGCCTCGATTTCCTCAATTATCAAATGAGAATGATAATAGAACTACTCTCATTGGCTAATTGTGGAGATTTTGTTTTAAATATATATATATATATTTAGTTCCTGTGCCTGGAACAAAGTTATATTTTCAATAAATATTAACTGTTATTATTTCTGTTTTGCAAAAGAGAACATTAAGTCCTTTGCACCAAGTCACATACGTAGCTGGTAAATGGCAGGGCCAGACCCAAGGTTAGGTCTGTCCAACTCCTTAGAACCCTGCTTTTTGGTCCATGACCTCAAGGAGAGGATCTTTAACTGGTTGCTGATGTCTTAGCACCAACTACAGGGCTTGGCACAAGTCTCAAAAGCAGATGTTGAACGGATGTGTCCATGATGCTCTCTCATCTCCTCAAAATCTTTCCTTCTCTCCTGAAGACATTCTTCCATAAGGAAATAATCTGATAAACTCACCCAGGAGCAACTCACTGACAAGGGCTGTGGGCATTTGCCTTTTAACCCAGGGAAAACTCTTCTGACAATGTAAGATATTTCTCATTGTGGAACTTAAGTTTCTGTGGAACTGCACAATGAAACTTAGTGGGCGACCGCCTGCTTTCACCGGTACAAGGTCGGCTATGCTTGTTGCCCTGCTCTGGCCCATGTTTCTTCTCTTCCTGCCTCTGAGACAATCTAACAGGCTGGGCACCTTTTCTGCTTTTCTCTTGTAGTTTGGGGAGTAGAAAGAGAGTGCCACACAGGAGGTGGGGTGCTTTTGCTCGGCCATCACGTTATTTTCACACTTAGAAGCCTAGAGGAGGAAGGATCTCACAGGTGCTACCTGGTTGCTTCTGAAATTTGAAGCTTAAGGCTCCAAACTTGGAGAGAGGCCAGAGACAGCGATTTTTTTCCCCTCACCAAAGGAGAATTATTTCTAAATCCATAATTCAACATGGAGGTAGACACTCGAGAATAACTTATATAACAAACCCCCTCCTTCCACAAGAGCCTCTTTACTTGAGTCACAGTGCACAGTTGTCAACGGAAGACACTGCTGGCATTTCGGAGCCTTTTTGCTGCATCTGAGATGGAGGGATGCCCTCTGCTGGGTGTTGGCATGTGGAGAAGCATAATTTTTTAGGGAGAAAAAGAAGCCGATGTTGGTAATTTCCTTCTAACTGTGATGTTGTAAACAGTCACATGAAGCCATTTGGTTTCGTTTAAATTTAGATGAGTGATAAAAATTAAGATGTGTGAATCATCTGCATAATACAACTTCCTGTAAGGAGGGAGAGAGAGAAATAGAGGGACAGAAGGAGCCAGGGAATGAGTTAGACTGAGACAGAGGCACCTGAGGCAGACTGTGTGACAATGAGATGGGTAGCGGAGAGAATGAAAACATTTTGCAGCTCCCTTTTTTCCTATCATCATAGCCAGCCAACCCAAGTGGGTGGCGCCAAAGGAAGTCAGTTACCTTCATGGAAGAGAAGACGACAGAGTTCAATGGGCAAGAACAGGAGAATTGATAAGGATGCTGAGTTCTTTTCTCCTGAGGACTCTCTTTCCCAGCCAAACTAAAAACTAAAGGTAAAAGCAATGCAATCATCAAGGGAAAGAAATTACTTTAGAAAACAAATTTATACTGCCCTCGGCTGCTCCATTGCTTGGGAGTGTGGTCTGGGGGGGTAGGACGTAGTGGGTGGGAGCAAGTTCAACTTGGAACTTACTTAGGGCAGTTGTCCTCTTCTTTTGGCACCAGAAAATCTTCTTTACACAAGATTATGTTCCAATAGTTTAGAAAGAAATTACCTTAAAAATTGCAGTAAGAAATAGGTTAGTTTTTTAATCTGGACCAACCATAAAACTCTACAGTGGAAATCCACAAAACACACTGGAACTGAGCTATAAAACAAATAGAATGAACCTACGTGGGGAATTTGGTAAGAGAGAGAAGAATAGAAGGCCTGGTGATTTAAGTAGGTCTTTAAACTAGCTGATATTGAGGTGTGACTGTTTGATAATTCTATGCCTGGAATTGAAGTACTATTTATTCCATTAAGAATGCAGGAATCCTTACTAACTATAGCTAGTTTATAGACTTACAGACACTTAATATGTTTCTAGGGACCACTTGCAAACCTTCTCTCAGGCCTGTTTACTCAACTCAGGGAATCATCCAGGCTCTGCTTGGATTCCCCCTTCCTACAGAGCTTGGTAAAGCCGTCATGACTGTAAGTTTAAGAAACCATAGATCTTACCTCGTGTATTTCCTGCCACTCAGACATCATAGTTCATTGCTACCTAAAGTCCAAATTCATGGAAACAATCCTCTAAACATCATTATTTATTGAAATGAATCATCAGTTAGTCTACCTCCAGGCAGTATCTATAATAATAAAAGCATAATATGCTAATTAGACCGGACAGCTGTCCTTCCAGACTAAGCCGCAGTTACAGGAGCCAAGGCAGAGGTGGTTAGAGGCAATCAGGCAGGTAGGTGAGCAGTTAGGGGCGATTAGGCAGGCAGGTGAGTGGCTAGGGGCAATCAGGCAGGCAGGCAGGCAGAGTCGTTAAGGATGATCAGGCAGGCAGGCAAGCAGTTAGGAGCCAGTGGTCCCAGATTGCAAGAGGGATGTCTGACTGCCAGTGGGGTCCTGGATTGTGAGAGAGTGCAGGCCAGGCTGTCTCTTCCTTCCTCTCCCCCCCGACCCCCCGCCAAAGAATTTTGTGTACCGGGCCTCTAGTAACAAAATAAAGTGAAATTGGCTGGATGTCTGTAGCAGTTATGAATTACACTATTTTTGGAATAAGAGTGATCTTTTCCCACAAAATATTCCTAAACAAACAACAGCGAACCCCAAAGCATGAAAAACCAGGGGTTTACCTCCCTCCCCCTACACACACACATTAAAAAAACAGTACAGGAAGATGCTCCAGAGAGGGTTAAAGTTGCATGGCATCGCCCAGGACCACTTTCTCGTTGACAGCTCTGCCATTGTTAGCACATGCCTTCCATCTCCAAGGTCTCCTGAGTTCAGGGTAGTGGCTGAGACTTTTGGCCTCATGCCTGCATTCCTGGCAGGAAGGGAATGAGAAGGAAAAGTGCTAAAGGAGCTCCCTTTTAAAGAACTCTTTCAGCAATCCCACTCAACTGCCACTTGCTTCGTATTGTTCACTTTTAGTTGCAAAGGAGGCTGGGAATTGTGGTCTTGATATGTTGAAAAAAGTCAGGTTTTTCTTAGATGAGAAGAGGGATCATGGCTATTGGGAAGGCAGTCAGTCAGTTTTGATATTTTAGCATTTAATTATGGAATCAATGAATTTAGATTTGTATATTCCTTTTCCTTTGGAACTCATCTTCATCCCTTTTTGATCATTTCCTGATCATTAGCAATTTCATCAGAGGTCTGGATGGGAGAAGGATCCAATGAACGTTAAAATCGACCCCTATTGTCTTGCA